TTGTTTAGAATATTTCAAAAGTGTGGGAAGGGTTTAAAATGTCTTTATACATATATACATATACATATACATATACATATATATATATATATATATATATATATATATATATATATATATATAAACTACTACTTACCACTTGTACTACTATTCCTACTTCGCGGTTTTCGATATTGCGGGTCTTCAGGGTATGGATCCCCTGCGATAAACGAGGGACTACTGTATATGACTATATATGTATACATGTAGTATATATGTATAGCACTTATACTGTATATATATTATTATTATATAAACATTCAAATAAGAACTTGCTCCTTACAGTTTTTCTTCAGAGTGCTCCTGATGTGTTGCAACAAACCACGTTCCATGTGCATTACACAAAACGCTCCCTAATGGCGCACACCGGCAGTCACCTAAAATCCAAGTGATAAACTGTTGTTTCCGGTCTAAGTCACCTCCACCATAGGATCTCTCAAGATTAAGTTTGGCCTCTGGCTCTGCTAATTGGAGCTTAAAGTCTGGTGTAGCCCCTGGGCAGTGTATGGTGTGTGTGTGTGTGTGTGTGTGTGTGTCTATGTTGTGGGGGCTGTGTATAAATTATGGATGGATAGACCGGCAGGAGAATGGCCACACAAGCTGCAGCAGCAAGAGTGTTGGCAAAGACCAAGTCAGGCCAGAGTAATCACAAACACAACACCAGCACATGTCAGAGACAGGTGGCCTGACGGGGAAACAGAGCAGAGAGCCGGAAACTGGAAGATGACAGGGACCATTAAAACAGAAGAAAGACCAGGCTGATAATAATGGGACAGCAGGAGGGAACACTCAGAGGCAGACACACGATCTGAAAAATCCAGATACTAATGTTGGCATAAATGCATTATTTATACCCAGACAGTCTCATTACAGAGATTCATCATTGTTGGTATTATTTGACTAACACACCTGCTTGGATCACAAAAAAACAGTGGTGCTGTAGAGACCACAGCGGTGCAAAAACACAAACCTCTTGTCCAAAGGAAAACCAGCACCATGAAAACAGTACTTCTAGAAGTGTTTAGAACACTTTCATCAAGAAAAACACATTTAAAATATTCATGCAGGAGCTAAAAGAGTGCTCTCATGCATTAATAAAAGCAAAATCTTAAGTGTGGGAAGAAGAATGAGAGTCCTGACAGAATCAGAGGGTTGTTACATGATGTGCTCCAGCACAAAAACACTACCTGTTGATCTTTTTTCTGGTCAAAACTGCAAAAAAAAAAAATAAAAAATAAATTATGTTCTGCTACAGTTACAGACATTTTTTATTTTTTTAATTGTTGTTTAGGTTTTTTTGCTTCAAGAACATGTCTTTTCGCAGACTTGAGAAAAGACATCCATATTTGTGGTGTTCATTGTTTGTGTCAGTTTATGCAAATCTGTGTGTATTTACCAAGATAACATCTCATTTACATATTCAGACACAAAATTTCCAAACACTTGAGATAGAAAAAAATAGATATTTGGGTGTAAATAATCAGCTGTGGAGTTTTATGGTAATTTTTGCTCATTTGCATTGTACAAGTCAGTTTTCAGGGTAACTTCCTTTAGCGACAAAAAAAAAAAAAAGGTTAAGGCATCTTGTTGATTTCATAAAAGCAAAGTTATTTATATTTTACTTATTTTGGAGTTTATTAAATTTTCATCACCAGCTGCCAAGTTCAAGATAGATACCGCAGCTAAACGGCATTAGCCGACACAACAATGGCTCTAACAAAGGTCAGTTTTGCAGATACTGTGCAATGTACAATGTACTTTGTATGTAGTAGTAGTAGTAGTAGTAGTACCTGAGTAGTTCACAACACAATTTTCCCTCTTTGCTCTGTGATGGAGGACAAAAAAAAAGTGTTTTTTCCTTCTCATAAAAACCTGATAGTTTATTGCACATACAAACTCATTTAGATAAGACCTGATCTGTGTATTTCAGGTGTATTATGTATTCATGTATCATAACATAAAATTGCTCAGATACTAACTGGATTTCACAGTGATTGTGAATCTGACAAACATGAAAACGGAGCATTTGTTCAGTGATGAACTGATAACATTCTGTGAAGCACTTTACGACCTTCAGTCATTTTGCTCCCAACAACTCAGTCAGAAGTGGAAGCATTCACACGAGGGAGGTGAGTGGGGGAAGTGTTACCTGACTCATTTCCATCCTGCAGCTTCATGGTTTGTGTTACAGATAAAAAGACCTGCAAGATGTTGACTGGTGAACCATCTTGTTTTTACTTAGCCTTCTCTTTTTAACCATTACACCAACTTTAGCAAATATTGTTGTTCAGTATGTCATCCTATGAACCCAGAACTCTGTGATTTAAAATAACAGTTTAGGTCTTTCAAAATAAAGTTTTGTGTAATGATCATGAAGCGTTAATATCTTACCTGTTGTAGATACATTTCTAAGTACCAAAATGTGGAGAAATAAAGTGTAATTCTGGTCAAATTGCTCAGCTAACAGCTACTCCAAGTGACTCCCTGACCAAAGTGGATCACATCTGTATGACAGCCCCAGTGGTAAACATTTCATAGCAGTTCATGCAAATACTATTTTATAACCTTTTCAACTAACATCAGTTTCACATTACACCAGTATTCCCGATTAAATAATTACGGAACAGTAGTCCCTCATTTATCGCAGAGGTTTCTGTTGCAATGTTCTAAGCAATGTTTCTAAACTCTAAATGCTGTAAAAGAGCACAGCATGTCATGATCTCCGCTCTCTCTGTCGCCGGCTGCTCTCTCAGCCACGCCCATTTCTCCGCTGCAGAGCAGATATCCTGACATGCTGCAGGAGGGAGCATTTCCCTGCACCTGTGGGCTTGACACAGGTGCAGCAGGTGCTAAATAAAGTAAAACAATTTATTTTAAATAAAAAAATTCATGCAAATCATGCAGCTGATCCATCAGTCAGCCATTGTATGTCATGTCCAAACTTTGAAAAACCGCGAAAGAGAGAGTCCGCGAAAGTCAAACCGTGAAGTAGCGAGGGAATGGAAGTGTAAGATACACAGATAGCCACTGTTGTTACTATCAACAGTTGCAAATACTCATAGAATCCTACATCAACAATTTCCTGCGGGATCAATAAAGTTCTATTTTAACTTATTAACAAATCGAACCAGGCATTGAAAAGGTTTATAAAGTAGTTATTACATTATCAGCTGTAACATTTTTTTAAACTGCAGTTATTTTAACAAAAAAACAAAACAAAACTACTTTGGTGTTGACTGCACTTGAATTAGTTGTTAGAATTGAATTCTGACAGGACTGAGAAGAACTGACGTCGTTCAAAGTGCTATCTACAACAGGTAAGACATTTTCTGTTTGAAATTATTCGTAGAACTTCACTTCAAAAGATCTGAATCTTAATTTTTGTAAAATAAAAGTTGGTTGTACTTCTCATGGCAGAGAACCCAGTCAGGTACAGCTTATCTACCACAGCAGCAACACTTGTCTCTTTTCAAGGTAAATTTGGAAACAACCGTTAGCATCAGGCTACAAGAGATAGCATGTTAGCAGGGGAGACATCCTCCCCACTGCAGGCTCACTACAGATCCAAATAAACCAGCTAAATATTTAACTAACATCTGCTTGTCAGGCTCTCAATGTTACTTTACAAAGAACAGAACAGCAGAGAAGAAGCAATGTGCCACACAGCTAATAAGAACTATAAATAAATCATTTATATTGACTTGGTGCTAATGTGGGGGTGGCGTGGTGACACAGTGGTTACAGCTGTTGCCTGACAGCAGGAAGATCACAGGTTCAAAACCCATCATGTCTTCTACAGTTTGTTCAGAAACATTAATAGACTTTTGTCTGTCTGGTGTTAAAATTGAACTAAAGTAATCTTCATGTTTATGATTAAACTAAATATAATAAACTTGGTACAAATATCTTTGTAAATTAAATGTTTTAGATAAAAAGCTGATCAAACATTAGTTTAGAATCTGTCCTGGGAGTATTAAAAACTGGAAATGATTGTTAATCAAGTGTCTGCCAACATGTGTACTTGTGTTCTCATCTTTTATATCCGTTATATCTGCTGGCTTAAAAAAAATACAATAACTACAAGAGTACTGCATACAGCACATTATATGCCAGTTGATAAACAGTTATACAGCAATCTATAGTAATGGACAAGCAAAGACCTTGCATAATATGTGACCTTGATTTGTGACCTTGACCTTGAAGCTGGGGTGATGAAATGCATAAGAGACACTCCCGTCTAGGGCTGATGCAAATGGCTATCAAGGTTCATTAAATCACCCAGAGCAAATCAGAATATATGGTCTGGACAAGCAAAAGATGGTTTTGTAACTTCAACCTTGATTTGTGACCTTGACCTAGGACCTGGGGTGATAAGACCTGTCCATGGCACTTTTTCTAGTGCACTATGATGCATTCGTGAATAGGACTAGATGCATATGTGTTTCTTAAGTTTCTTAAAATTATCTTGAGCAGATCAGAATTTATGGCTTTGGACGACAAGCAAAGACTGTTTTAGTTTCGACCTTGATTTGTGACCTTGACTTTGAAGTAAAAGGTGATTACATGTGAACGTGACAGTGATGGTGCAGATGTGGATGAAGTTTCAGTGCATTATCTTGAGAGGATCAGAAGTCATGTCAAGAGAATGTTTACAGACGTGCATCAAAAAGTTTTTTTGACGCGTGAATAAAAAGTATTTTTCAGACGTCAGTTCAGATGAAAGATGTATTATTATACTATTTGTCTTATAATGTATTCATTACAAAGCAACATGTTATAAAATGTAAGCAACAATAGTAATAACATTTGGATTTCAGTATTTATTTACGTTAATAAAAGCTAATAAATCATATTTTAAGATTGTTGTTGTTTTATTACCATACTGTGAAAATATCATACCGGCCCTTGTCCCCCAAAAAACTTTTTCTCACGTGCACGTTAGCTCATGCACTCAAACTGACCTGAGCGACATGATCTTGTAGGCGTCGGGCAGGTAGCACCTCGTGTTCTCCATCTGGGCCGGGTCCGAGTCACAGATCTTGTCATCGGTGCGGCCGTAGTTGGCGCTTTCGATCATGATGACGTCCGTGCCGGGGCAGCGCAGTTCGATGGGGTAGGACTCACAGGACAGCTCCCTGCGCACCACTGCCATGGGGATGGGTGCACGGCCACACACTGGACACACACACACACACACGGTCACTTTCTTTTCAACTATTTATCCTTCCCGACAAGCTAATGAAAAACAAGACAAATTAGAGGAGCAGTGTTTAATTTATGTGCAGTAGAGGACTAAATTGTACAAGAATAATCGTGTTGAGCTACACTGTGTTTGTCCTCCTGTCATATGCACATAATTATGCACACTGTGCAAAAATAAAATCACAGAAGATTTTTCATGAGGGTATGTCCACTGTCAAAGTGAACTAAACGCTCGATTACAGCGTGGCAGTCAGCTGTTTCAAGTCAGATGAAAGATAATTGCCTGGAAATATCCATAATCTTTATGGATGATTTGTCAAAAACAAACAAAAAAAATATGATTGACAGAAGTTGAGAATCTGAAACAGAAACAGTCAATAAATCCAAAGATGCTAAAGCTACTGGTACATTTGTGCAAATTCAGGGTAGAACTGCACGATTACTCAAATATAAATTAATCAAAACATCACAAACACTGTTTTTCAAATGTATGCCACCTCTTTTCTATATACTGTTCGTTTTAATGCTCATGAACATCCTCAGTATGAGTTTGTGCTGCATTCATGTGTTTATTTATTCAAGTTACAATGATCCTACATGAAAGTTGACGATTCTCACAAAGGGCAAAGGAAAATACGACTGAGCCAAAGTTAAGGAAACAAAAAGTCAGACAACTTTTCACACGGCAGCACTGATGTGACATTAATAACCTCAGACTATCAGAACTGTATTGAAAAATAAAAAGTTTTACACACAATAATGCACCTCTTTTAGGATTTTTTCATACTAAAAGCATTGCATGGAAGGGATGCCAGATAGGAAATTATGAAATTATGTATGTATGTATATATATGTATATATATATATATGTGTGTGTGTGTGTGTGTGTATATATCATACATTACAATATATACTGTATATATATATAAAAAATATAATATATATATTCAGTGGTCTGTGGTTGTGTTAGGAAGGACATCCGATGTAAAAATAATTGCCAAGTCTTCGTGCGAGTTACCGGTAGTTCGCTGTGGTGACCCCTGAAGAAGGAAGCAGCCTAAAGAAGAAGAATTTTTTTTTTTGCCAACATTCCCACTGGCGTCTTTGACCAATGGGCCTTAGATATTGATCGCTCTTCATTGTGCCGCCCCATTTTTTGCCATCTTCTGGCAACCATGGTTGTATTCAACTCCAGAAATACAGATTAGGATTCAAGTATTCAAAGATTCAAGTTTCTTTATTTGCCATTTGCATCACATATGGTAAATGTGGTGGAACAAAACTGTGTACCCAGGGTCCCAGTTACAACCAACAAAAGTATAAAATGTAAAAGAACAACAGTAATACGATCTAAAATATGAAACAAGATAAATGTTAACTAAAAATACACTAAGCACTAATAGTACAAGAACAATACGCTGAACAGCAGCAAGAACATGAGTCTGTGTGAGCAGATGAGCACGAATGAACACAGCAACATGATGTGATTTTTTTCATAGTGATTATTCTGCACCGAAAGTCCATGCTCATTAATCCAGGTATAAAATCCAACAATTATCAGTCCGGACAGGATTTTATACCTGGATTATTGAGCATGGGCTTTTGGTGTTTGGAATCAGTTTAACATGACTGTCAACGGAGGAGAGGGCGTGCCCCAGAGACCATCTTATTATAATAATATATAATATAATTGGGTTTTTTTCACTTTGGAGTAGGTTGTTGGGGGAGAAGCAGTTTTGTTTGGTGTTTCCTCAGACTGATGAAGCCTTCTGGATGGAAGGTGAACGGTCTCAGCACAAAAAAAAAGAAACTGTCCAGATGACCTGACTGAAAATTGTTGGAGTGATTATCCTGGTTAGAGATTCATGAGTCTACCTCAGGGCAGAAGCTGTTCCTCTGTCTAGTGGTTCTACTTTGTACACTTAATGCTCTGCAACCTTCTGCCTGAGGGGAGCGGGGCAAAAAGTGTGTGCTGGGTGAGTGGGTGTGAAGGTTGTTCTTCCTGCACCAGCTCTCCAGGTGTTCCACCTCCTCCCTGTAACTGGACTCATTATTGTTTGTGATGCGTCCCACCACCGCTGTATCATCTGCAAACTTTACAATGTGACAGCCTGGATGGGCAGCTGCACAATCATACGTGAGCAGAGTGAACAGGAGAGGGCTCAGCACACATCCCTGAGGGGAGCCAGTGCTGAGGGTTATGGTGGAGGAGGAGAAGTTTTAGATCCTCACTGACTGCTGTATGTTTGTTAAGAAGTCTAGGACCCAGTTGCAAATGGAGGGGCTTAGTCCTAGTGTGAGTAGTTTATCCATCAGGGTTTGGAGGATCATGGTGTTGAAGGCAGACATGAAGTTCACAAAGAACATACAGACTTAGGAGTCCTTCTGCTCCTGGTGGGTGAGAGCAGTGTGGACCACAGAGGAGATGACATCCTCTGTTGATCGATACGTACTGGTGAGGGTCCTCGTTGATGTTGATGGTTGTTTTGATGTGGGTCATCACCAGTTTTTTGAAGCATTTAGCGACTATCGGGGTGAGGGCTACTGGTCGGGAGTCATTCAGACCAGTCACTGTAGAGCTCTTTGGGACTGGGATGATGGTGGCGGTCTTCAGACGGGTGGGAACTGTCACCAGTGTGAGTGAGGAGTTAAAGATTTTGGCCAGCACCTCGCAGAGTGTACGTGCTGAAAAACATTTCTATAGTTTTAGACTTTTTCTCAAATCTAAAGCCGCAACAAAACATGAGGCTTCAGCAGAGTTTGTACCAAACGATGATTTGGTTTTTGGTTCCCCTGTTGATCCCCAAATCCCTTTAAGTTTATCAATTCAACTTTATTCTTAAACTATTTTGATTTATTTTTCTCAAACTTTTAACTTTCATCTCAAAACTGAAACGCAAATAAAAATCTTCTTCATTTAGTTTTTCTTCTCAGTGACTCTCATGCACTGTCGTACATTAAAGAGATAATAAAGACATCTTTGTGTCATTTAGAAGTTTTATTCTAAAAAAGTTCTAAGTCTGGAGTAGACAGCACCTGTTATTAGTATTTTTTTTACCTGAGTGGAATAATTATTCTGCAGGAGAAAAGGGATAATTGTTTCAAAATCACGATCTAAGTTGTCACATAAAACCCTCTCATTTAAATATCAGCAGGGACTGTGCAGCCCTGGTTCATTATTACAGAAGATTTGGGAGAAAATGATGTTTCCAAATAAAAATAGGGTTAAAATATAAAGATTGTGTAAAAGCTCTGATATTGATGGTGTTGGACTGGATGCTCCAGGGGGTTTTACTTGTTGTGGAGCATCTTTGTTATTGAGATCAGCAATCCCTGTGAGCATTCAGCACCTCCCTCGACAGATCGCTGAGCTGAGGCGTTCACATGTGTTTTTCCATCACCTTCCTCCTCCGTAATAATACTGTAGATGTGCTTTATTTGATTTTAGGCCTCGTATACTGTGTTAACAACAAGCTCCTGTGGAACGTTCTGCTGTACCCGGTGCAATATGCATAATATGAATTTTCACTGCAGTATAAATAAACGTGTATTAAAACTGGTTTCAAGGCCAAGTAATTGAGATCACTTGCGGTTTCATTTCAGTACCTTTCATCCTGGGAGGACCTTTCAAATTAAAGCTCCTAAAATTGCACGTGCGCCCGAGTCCGCGTGTTCATCTAAAGACCTCGACAACAAACAAACGCAGGCCTACAGCATCCCTTAAAGAAAAGGCAGACACACTCCCCTTCTCCTTGCTCTCCCTGTCACGGTAACCATAGAAACCTGCCCTCCCTCCCTCCGCTCTTTCATTAGTTAGAGGAGCGTCATGGTTACACATATGCAGCAAAGAATCTGAATGAGCTCAATGACACTCTGCCTGGGCTCAACTTAATACTGCCCTTCACCACGTCTCACACGCACACACACACGCACACACACATGAATACAAATGCTCTGAGTGATGGAATGTAGAGGTGGAAATTCACAGCCATTGTCAATGATAACTGTCTGGTTCTGGTACCTGAGGCCATAACATTGATAATGGCAGGCTCTAGCTTAGAGATAGGGCTGATATATAAGTGACATTTACTGAAAATGTCCTCTTTAATGAACACACACAGGCGCGCACACACATAGGTACATCACCTTAGGCCATGATTAGACCTTAAGCACACATTCAGACAGGATGTGTGTCTCTGTAGCTGTTGAAGAATTGATGGGACATCATGGATTTCCGTGGGTGCTTAAGGCACCGGGTCATTATTGTGTTAACGTGTTGGTTTGTAACGTTTCTCAAAGGCTGCATCATGGCACCATTGTAAGCACGAATATATATTTTTTGGTTATTGAAGCATGCAGAGATCAATGTAGTCATTGTGAGGCAGCTGTCTAGACTAGATGTGGATCAGATGTCCTCCAGTGTGGACTAGATGGATCCCCAGAGGGCATAAAGCAAGCATTATGACACAAATACTCTTAAGGAAATTTATTGTTTGTCTTTTATTTTTAATTATTTATCTGAGAAGTAAAATGATTAAATGAATAAAGCAACTACTGGCCAAGACAGTAGTATGAAAGTTGCAACCATATAGCACACAAAGTAGGCAAATAATAAATATATATATACTTTGAAATAATCTAATTAAATAAAATTGATGCATTTGTAAAATCTGCTTCCCCAAGTAAGACATTTTATACCTGATCTAATATTTTTTTACTCAATAAAAGACTTAGGACATTGATATTAAATATATTGTATTTACAGTTTGTTTATTAATAGATTCATGAGTTAAGCCTGGTGATAATTATAAAATGCAACAAGCTGAGAAGCAAATAAAAATCACCTTTAATTGAATAAACTTGAAAATTAAAGTCAGCAAGGATTCACGGTTTTATTGCTCCAAAGATTTGAAATATTTCCTTCCAGATGGCTCAGAGAGGCCAGTTTTGGACCAAAGCCCACATACATGTTA